GGGTTGGAACAAGGGGAAGAGTGGAAGAGTTTAGTCTGATGAGGGCTGGGGGGGAATGGGAAAGAATAAATGGGGACTTAAAAGATAGTGTCATAACAGGCTAGATCAATGGTAATTAATTATATGGGATATAGTTTACGTGAATGATTGTATGAAACACAATGTAAAGGAGGGATTGCATGGAATACAAAAGATATGAATGAATCCCATGCAAATGAAATAATGTCTAAAAATCCATAGGAAAAATAAAGAGTGGTAAAGAAGTGCAAAGGTTGGAATACAGGATACAGCATGCAGGAGCAATGATTTTGTAAATCACTCCCTAACTAAGGAGGGACTGGAGAGCATTATGCTGAATGAAATAATTCGTCTCATAAGGACAAATACTGTTTAAGACCATTACTGTAGAACAAGTATGAGGGTCCGAAGAGGGGGGAGCAGAGGGGTAGAGATGGGTGACACATAGCGTGGTGATTAATCAATCATAGTGTCACACAATTTGATGGGGGGTGAAGGAAATGGAAAAGATATGGTGTGGAAAACAATGTATTCAAACTTGTAAATAAGCCAGTATAAAATTTAAAAAAATATTAAAAAATGCAAATGAAGGTGATAGAGGGCCCTCATCTTTTTGTACCCACTGTGTAGTTGATTTTGTTTGTTTTTTTTTTGTTCTGTGAATATTTGACCCGTTACATTGGCATTTCTGTCTAGTATGTCCCCACTGCCACGTGCTGCAAAGTAATCTGTTAAACTCCTTGGAAATGGAATGCCACTCCAACCCACTGATTCTACTCGGTACTTACAGTACTAATAGGTTATATTCAGTGCTGTTTCTCTAAATAGAAGAAGAATTCATGCCTTTGAGCTGTGGTGCTGGAGAAGAGTATTGAATGGTCACATGGACTGACAGAAGAATAAACAGATTGGTCTTGGAAAGAGTGCTGCCAATGTGCTTCTGGGAGGCAGTGCCCAGATACACAGCCATTCAGTGGTGGAGTCGGGATTGTAACCCAGCCCGAGCGCACCCTATGTCCCTGTTCCTGGCCTCCCCAGCACCTTCATCTCTGTAGAGCTGTCCAGCCCTCAGTCCTCTCTGCTGCTTTCACTGTCCGCAGTCACCTTCCTTCTGTCTCTTTGCCTTTATTCTCTTAGTCATGGTGGGAAAAAATTGGAAATGTAAGTCAGAGAGAGGGAGAAGGGGATTTTTATGATCCTTTTAGCAAAGAGAAAAGAAGGTAAAAAAGAAATCACTCACATAAATATAGCCCAGCCCCTAGATAGCTGGAATGAA